ATAAAAATTTACGTTCATAAGCGGCTAAAATGTCCTACATGAATAAATGATTTTCTAATTTGAATTTAAATATTATAAACTAAGGTAAAGGTACACTTTTAATAAAGAAAGAAGGTTTTATCTCGTTCGGTATTATGATTTAATTTTTGTTAAATATTTTAAACTAATTAAGTAAAGTAAAACTTACAAAACTAACGGTATACGCTGGCGTGGCACCAGTGATGGATGATAAGATGAGCATGAGGTCAGGTCAGTTAGCCCATCGTGGTAAATTCATTATGAATTTATAATGATAGTTCCAGGGGGAACCACGTGGAGGTCAACCTGACATGGTACATTGTGTTATAATGGTGGTGGTGTTATATGATAATAGTGTTATTAGTCCCTATTACCACAGATAATATAATATCTATTACTAACAATCCCCTTTCCCCAAAGGCACACTTTTGTTTATTTATCTTCGATAAATTGTAGTCGATATTGAAACTAGATTTTCGTACAAGTGTGTTAAATTTTATGACTAATATTTGAGCTGTTAAATTGCCGAGATCTTCTTACCTTTATACTACTAGGAAGGATTTTTTATTTATCGGCAAAAGTAACCTTGATAAATGTGCCAAAAATTTCAAATATGTAATAAAAATTAGGTTTTTAATCAACGTCTATGTGACAGACTCGACCCATTGACTTTGCGGCGTGATATTGCATCTCTGTGCATTTTCTACCGCATATATTACGGGGAGTGTTCTGAGGAATTGTTCGGATTAATACCAGCTGCTGAGTTTCACCACCGTACCACCCGCCAGAAACTGAAATACCATTCTGATTATCTGGATGAATGGCGGTCTTCCACAGTGCGGTTTTCTAGAAACTTTTTGCCTCGCACAACCACATTGTGGAATCACCCTCCAGCAATGGTATTTCCGAACCGATACGATATTGAAACCTTCAAGAAAAGAGCTTATTCCTTTTTAAAAGGCCGATAACGTACTTGCACTTCCCCTGGTGTTGCGGGTGCTCATGGGCGGCGGTAATCACTTACCTTCAGGTGAGCCGCATGCTCGTTTGTCCCCTGTGTTATAAAAAAAAAATATTATCAGTACATGGTCACCCATCCAATGTATGACTGCGATTAATGATCTCATTAATTTATACTGATCAACGGAGGCAGTTAAGATGGAGAGTAAATATTTGGGTTGCCTATTTTTTCAATAGAATATACAATACAATTTATTTAATTACAATGCAGCCCATGTTACGGTAAGTAATAATATAATTTTCTATAAGAACTTTTGAATTAGTTCAGTATTTTTTAGTTTATCTGTATAGACATCTAAAAAACATTTTGTACTCTGTATAATATTAGTTTAGCCGAATAGAAAATCTCCCGTTTACGTGAATGAACACCTGAATCGAACTGGGTGAATACATTAGTACTGGGATCGTTACGTTAATGGACCTGAATCTTAGGGGAAAGTGGGGGAGCAACGGGGAGGGTAAGGTTGGGATCGGTTTACAGCGGTAAAGAAATGCCTGATGAGATGTTAAAGAATAGAATAGAATAAAAAATCATTTATTCAAATAAACTTACATTGAAGCACTTTTGAATAGTCATAACATTTTTTTTTAATCTACCGCTCATTCGGAGTGCTGTCTCATCACAAGAAGAACAAGCAAGCAAAGAAAATTAAAATTGAAAAAAAACTACTATAAGTATATAGATTTAATAGTTCACAGGATTTATAAAGGTTATCTGTGACAAAAAAAGTATTACTGTCTTTATTAAGGTATATTATTTTAACAGTATGTACCAGCATAACTCACTATAGTAATGAAATGTGTTTAATTCTTTTTCTTTTATTACAGAATCTTTTAAGTCCTCAAATTCAAAACAATTGTACATACATCACTATTTTTACATTTAAATAATATGACAATATATTAAATATATATCTCTCTTGTACTCTTAAGTCTCTGTACAATATTATTACTCTATTATTTTCTGTCAGAATTTTGGCGCCAAAGTTATTTCACTTTTTTAATATGGACTACAGGCAACGGAACAAAACTAAACAGTTATATTTACATTACTACAATTAACAAATTGTTAATAATTATAATATTGAGATCATATTCAAAGTGGGATATTTAACGCTATATCTTTAGTAACAAACTAACGACGGTTTCGGTGATCTAGCGGTTTAGCACACCGACTTACATTGACTTACATCCTAGGGTCCAATCCTGGTCGATAAAAAAACTTCGTGTCTATTTATATTTCTGACTCTTCTGTGAGACTATTATCAAACTAAAAATTAATCCGAGCGTCGAGTCGGCGGGATTAATACCATGCTATGCTGGTTTCAAATATACCGATCGAATTGTGGACGTGTCGACTGCTTTTACCATACCATCGGTAGTTGACAAGAGGCATTGTTACCTTATCTAGGATGTGGACTTGTCAACTGCGTTTACCACACTATCGGCAGTTGACAATATTTCTGACTGTCCAGAATGACAGTCGTAATGGTTGTTCAAACTAATTTCTCGCTGCTAATCCCAACCTACTACATCGTCTCTACGTAGATTTAAGGGCGTAGACTCACAAGAGGCTTGTTTTAGACGTCAGGTTGATTTCAAATATACTGATCGAATTGAGGACATGCCGAGTGCGTTTACCACACCATCGGCACTTGGCAATGCGTCTGACTACCCTATCTTGGATGTGCTGATGTAATAGCAACTGCGTTTACCACACTATCGGTAGTTGACAATATTTCTGGCTACCCTATGACTATCCAGAATGACAGTCGTAATGGTTGTTCAAACTAATTGCTCGTTGCTAATCACAACCTACTATAACGTCTCCACTTAGATTTAAGGTCGTAGACTCACAAGAGGCTTGTTTTAGACGTCGTATATTTATATTATATATAAATATATATTATCGGCGCTATCGGCAGTTGACAATATTTCTGACTACCCTATGACTATCCAGAATGACAGTCGTAATGGTAGTTCAGACTAATTTCTCGCTGCTAATCACAGCCTACTATAACGTCTCCACATAGATTTAAGATGGTGGACTCACAAGAGGCTTCTATTAGACGTTTCGGCGGGATCAATGCTATATCACGGTGATTTCAAATATGGCGATCGATTTGTGGACATACCGAGTACGTTTACCACACCATCGGTTGACAATGCCTCTGACTACCCTATCTAGGATGTGAATAGCAATTGCGTTTACCACACTATCGGTAGTTGACAATGTTTCTGACTACCCTATCCAGAATGACAGTCGTAATGGTAGTTCAGACGAGTTGCTCGCTACTAATCATAACCTACTACATTGTCACTAAGCAGATTTAAGGTCGTAGACTCACAAGAGGCTTGTTTTAGACGTCAGGTTGATTTCAAATATAGTGATCGAATTGTCGACAAGTCAACTGCGTTTACCACACTATCGGCAGTTGACAATATTTCTGACTACCCTATGACTATCCAGGACGACAGTCGTAATGGATGTTCAATCTAATTGCTCGCTGCTAATTCCAACACATCGTATTCACATATATTTAAGATGGTGAACTCACAGGCGTCTCGTTGGTTTCAAGTATACTGATCGAATTGTGGACATGTCGAGTGCGTTTACCACACCATCGGTAGTTGTCAATGCCTCTGACTACCCTATCTAGGATATCGTAATGTTTGTTCAAACTAATTGCTCACTGCAACTCCCAACCTACGTCGTCTTCACATATATTTAAAATAGTGCACTCACAAGAGACTTCTTTCAGACGTCACTTTGGTTTCAACTATACCGATCGAATGTTGGACATGTCCAGTACGTTTACCATCGGCAGTTGACAATGCCTCTACTACCCTATCTAGGATGTGAATATCAACTACGTTTACCACACCATCGGCAGTTGACAATATTTCTGACTTACGAATACTTCAAACTAATTGCTCGCTGCTAATCCCAACCTACTACATCGTCTCCACATAGATTTAAGATCGCAGACTCACAAGAGGCTTGTTTCAGACGTTAACGGCTGCATTACTAAGTATGTGAGTCTAATTTCTCATTGTGAACATTCGGGTCTGGAATTGTCGGCAGTTAATTTTAGACTCTTGTTCTTGCTGACTAGGTTCATTATTGAAGTCACGTAATGGAATATCTGTTTTATTCAATTACAGCGCACAACGTACCTATAGTCACAATGACATGTAGTTTATCCATTAAATAGATGGTGATAATGCTCGGTGAAGTTTATATAGCTTAAAATATATTATATACATATATATGTATAACGACACAAATCAGTTAAACTTATGTCGATTATATAATAACGCACTGATTTATGTTAGGTTATATGCATCCTATACTGAACATAGGTAGGTTTTTGATAATATCAGTCACCAGGGATGATGCTTCAATGATGATGATGATCAATTTCGATGATGATTCGCAGCCAATAGGTGGATCGCGAGGATCCATAAACTTTACCAAGGTAGATCCTCGTTAGTTTATAGTATTTATATATCGATATTTCGATATATCGATATTTGATGGCGTCGGTGGTCTAGCAGATTAGCACACCGCTTTAATTCCGATAGTCTTTAGTCTTTTTTTCTAGTTTTTTTTTTTGCACCAGTTACTACCCAGAACCACACAGAAATAGATAGCGTTGCGTGAATTGTCCAGAGGTATTGTATTATATGTGCTACAGATTAAAGCAATTCAGTGATTTTTTATACATCTGTCTATATTTTATTACATCTTTTGATCTACTATAATTACTTAATGTATTTGTATTACTTTGTTTGAATCCGCTACCATTACCATATATATATATCAGTTTTTGAATATATATTATTCTAATTTACAAATTTTTCTTTAATAAATTTACTCAATTATATAGTAATGTATAATTATTAGAAAGAATTGAGAGAATCGATAAAGGCATACAACAATTTCTATTTGCTTGTTTCAGAAATACGTTAGCGAACTAACAATTGTACGGGACTGCGTGCCAACTTGCAGCGAAAAAGGTAAGTGTCACTACAGAGTTTTTGTATAAATTAGCTTCGATCAGACAATTTAGCAAGGGTCCTAGTATTGACCCTTGATGGACTCCATAGTTTTGAACATAGGGAGGGTAATGTTCAACAGTGGATTGCGAGTGACTAAAATAATAACCGCCAACAGTTCTTGAAAGCTAAGAAGATTCTTCAAGAAAATTTCAGCACTAATGATGTTATAGCAAATAAGGAGTCGATAAAACTATTGTAAAATTATAAGACGAAATGAAAATTGATCCAAGAATGGTAGTAACAAATGATTTTAAAAGCGTTAAAAAATATATACAAAGATGTAGGGGAGTAAATTTACTTAAAGATAATATATAATACAATATTCTTTCATATTGCGAAACATATATATATACGTTTTGCAATACATATATATATATATAGCTAATTTGCAGTCAATTTAATCATCAGGTCATTTTGTACTAGGCTGTGTTTTATATTAGGTTATGTACATCCTGAGGCACCACCCCACAACCAGGCCCCTGGAGGCGCGCGCGTGTACCCACGCGCCTCCACGAGAAGGTAGGGTGCAAGCCATAGCACCCTAACCGGAGAGAGGGGGCCTGTCCTACAACATCTACAGGACAGGCCAAGCCGCCGAAGTCTGGGTTGAGTGCCAAGTGCGATCCCAGGACTTCGGCCCGCGGCACCTCGAGGTATACCGTGTGGTTTTTTAGTGGGTACGAGTCCCACACACCACCTCGCCATCCCTCCGGCGGGGTGACGGTCTTGTTGAAGATTTTTCCACACGATAAAAAAAAAAAAAAAAAACTAAAACTAAAAATTGAACATTGGTAGGTTTTTGATAATATCTGTCACTATAGGTGACGCTCAAGCCAGGATTTATAAACTTTATCAAAGTATACAAGAAAATTTTAAGAAAATTTTATCAGATAATAATATAATATTTCAAGATTGCTAGAAAGAAAGAAGAAGAAAGCTAAGCAGACCTTGTATTATGGGTACTAAACAACTGATAGAAATACTTGGATAAGTTATTTATAAAAATAAATCTAAAGATACATCTAAAGCGGCAGTTTCTACGAAATATTCTGTGCTTTCATTTGAATATTTTCTGAGTATTCTAAATAATATAGAAACAAATGCCAAATATCCTTACTTATACATAATTTGGTAGATCTATACCGAGACATTTGCCTCCCCGATACGTGTTTGCGCTTCGCTAAATTACACCTTATTAAAGTAGAACCATGCGTTTCCGACGGAATCATTACACGAGAGCTCTTCACAGCTGGTCGTAAACACCAACCAGACGTGACCTACTTTAGTTTGTAGTTAGTAATACATTATGGATCTGAAGGGCTGGTAACTTGACGTACACGTTTTCGACATAATTGCAATCCTTGAGAAATATTAAAGGAGCGAATGTCACGTTACAGAAACGTACGGCCTATGAATAATTGCCAAATGGGCTCTTTGTATTCTGTAAACAAAGTGTAAAGACAAAGTGTTTAATATACATAATCCAGCTTGAGGATTTATAAAAGAATCGAGATCTATATATAATTATTTGAAATACGGCACGGCATGTCATCCAGATATGTCATAGACGGGGTATTCAGAGACATTGTCAACTGTGAATATTGTAGTTTTTTACATGCTCGTATTTCTCTCGGTATATTTTTAAATCAACGTGTCGTCACACAACTACTCGTTGATTTGATATAGGTGTTGCCTTCACCAGAGTATTAGTAAAAAGTAACGATTAACTCAAAAAATATTTTTTGGTAATTATTAATTTAGAAATTACAACCTCTTGGGCGTAATTCAATACGATACCGATCACGATACCGGGACACTCTTCAGTTATTAATGTGATTAATATTTCCTGTTGACCTATAACATTTGTTTTCCATTAATATATTCATATTTTATACTATTGTTCTGTAATATCAAACAAAACTAAAACTAAAAGATTTATTTTCATAATTGAAATTATCATTAATTAATATTATCTGATTGCACTAAGAATGAGTGCGTAGCATTTTCTATGTTGATAATCGAAAGCTTGTACTTGTTATTGTGTATTTATTTATTATAAAGAAAACATTTATTCAAAAGAGCAACACACAATCACAAATCTTGCTCATTCTTCTTGTGAGGAATCTGCTTTCCGAATGAATGATAGAATAAAAAATATGACTATTCAAAAATGCTTGTATTGAGTTTATTTAAAAAAAGATTATTTTTATTTCAAATTAGTATATTAGTAGATGTATATTAACCCGGATATGACGGAAGGGCTGTATTAAACTGGTTTAAAATGAGCCACGTTCCTAGGTGAGGTAAAATATATATATTCACCTCGCTGGCAAAAACGTGAAGACAAAGAATATGGCATTAGAAAACAATCGGTATATAAAATCAGAGCGTCAAAATATAAAATTCAAACATATATAAATAAACTATCAAAACAGCGGAAGTAAAGTCTACAGATTGCAAAAGCAAAATCGACGTAGCTATTACTCAATATACGTATAAGAAAATACAGTTACAACATATTCGAAATATGAAAACAATTTCTAGCAACTTTCGTATTCGCGATAATCATAGAACTGCACGGTGTACATGAAAGGTTATTTATAAAATTTAACTACAACCTGAACCTTTGCTCACTGAACTGCGCGAAAACGTAAACATCTTAAGCATTAATCTGGTTATTCAAATCTGTTCCACCGTTCAGTAACAAAGATCCAACGATGTTTACAAACTTTCGTGTTTAGAATATTAATAACATTATGATTACCACACATAGACGTTCCGTGGTTTGATGGCGATTCCACAATTTGGGCACATTTTCCGTTACATCTTGGCCAACATTTACGGCTTTCAAGTTCTGTTACTTCCCAAAGTTTGGCTGGGAGTGAATGCTTTTAGCATGCATTAAGACGCTCTTGTACTCCATATTGTGTAATGTAGTTTAATGAAATAAGTAAACCCTCCGCAGACTACAGTGCTAATGATTATCCACTGGCAAAGCTTTTATAGCGTAACTAAGTTAGCTCTAGATATTAAATAGAAATTGTATAATTGGGAATATCAACTTCAAACTGTACTTAGAGGTTTTCTGAGAAATTTTCTGTAATTAGAGGTGTTTTAATTGCTACAAATAAAATATTTTATTCATTAATTCAAACGTTCTATAAATGTTGAACATTTTACATATTACAATTAGGCATTTACTTTTGTTTATCTACCCTACCCTCTTCTGCTAACAGTTTATACTGGCAGGGCATCAGTGTATGATGATAGAATGAGCATGAGGTCAGGTTAGTTAGCCCATCATGAAAAAATCTTAGGGAATTATGAGACACAGTTACATAGATACATCAAAACAATAATTGCATTTAATAATGGTTAGTAGTAATGTCATTTAATGTCAATAAAATTGTCATTTAGTATATAAGATCAATATTTTTGTATACATATTGTCAGTCAATTATCATCTATAATATACATCATCTCAACCTACAATCTCGGGGGGGAAAGGGGATTGTTAGTAATGTGGACTGATGATCTTATTGCTAGCAATGTACAATGTCCGGTTGATCTCCACGCGGTTCCCTCTGGAAACCATCGTGATAAATTTTTGGTGAATATGTCACGATGGGCTAACTGACCTGACCTATTGCTCATCATATCATCTTCCACTGGTGCCCCGCCAGCATAAACCGTTAGCGCAGGCGGGTGCACCATTCCATTATCATCAATAAAAAAACCAACAATCTCATACGAATTTGTTATGATGGTTTCCAGAGGGAACCACGTGGTCAATCTAACATTGTACTTTGCTAGTAAAGAGGTCCACAGTTCTAACAATTCTTATCCCCCTTTACGACTGTGTTTTTCGCATTAAAAAGCTTATGTCCTTTCTCAGGTCTAGAAAACCTGTGTTCCAAATTTCATTTGAATCGGTTCGGTTTTACCGCCGTGAAAGCGAGACAGACAGAGCTACTTTCGCATTTACAATATTAGTAAGGAATTAATTCTCTTTTAACTTATACTAATATCACAGATAACATAATATTACATACATATAAAGCTGAAGAGTTTGTTTATTTATTTCAACGCGCTAATCTCAGGAACTACGGGTACGATTTTTGTTTTGTTTTGGATAGTCTATTTGTCGAGGAAGGCTTTAAACTATATAATATTACGCTCGACTAGTAGAAGCGAATCAACGAAAACGAAGCAACAATGAAAAATGTTGGAACAGGGGGAAAATTAATAAAATAGGGAATTCTATTGCTTTCGCATTCATAACATTAGTAAGAATAATCTCTCACTATGTCACTGAGGGTAACTTTAGTTTTAGTTACAACTCTAGAAACTGCCTAAAATAAAACATCACGTTTATTACTGGCCTGAGTATACGTTTATACTTGCAGTTTAAAACCGCAACACTTTGCAGTAAAACATTTTATGTGTATTCCCAGTTAACTTTAACATTGACAGCCGTAACTTTGGACTGTTTGTCATCTGTTAAGGTACATAGTATTGTTGTAGTAAAACGGGTTTTAACACGAATAATATTATGGTAAATGAAGGTAGTTACCACTCTCCACGTTTCGACAACGTCGAGAGAGGTAAAAACGTTTAATTACCATAAAATTATTAGTGATGCAACGGAAGTGTCTTAGCGGAACCAGAAACGGAAATGTAAATAATATATTAAAAAAATACCTATATATACCAAATACATCAAATCTAGATTAGAAATAGATATATTAGAAATCTACTATAGAAAACAATATTGCAACTTTGCAACTGAACATATTACTAATATTCTAAATTAACTAGTGGTAAATTATATTTTATGAGAAGTAATTAGGTCGTTTTTGCACCTAACGATCTGTTTTAGTGTTTTTCGTCTATAAGACCACGGTGGTCTAGCGGTCAAGCACACCGCTTTACGACCGATGGTCGCGGGTTCGATTCCT